GCCCATTTTTAAATCAGGTATTTCATGATTCTACTATTGAGTTGTATGAGTTCTGTAGAAATTTTATATATTAACCCTGAGGAGATTATCATCTGTCTTTACAGATGAGGACATAAAGGTTTTGGGGAGGGGGGTCCATAAATTATCTAAAATCACGCAGCTAATAAATGGTAAGGGATAGAACATTTTTGGAAGATTGTGTGTGAATAAGTAGGTTGGCTATATGTACAAGACAGTCTTTAAAAGAAAAGTAAATCTGTCAATGTTATATTTCAAGAGGGAATAACACAGAAAGTCTTTCAGCCTTGAATCAGGCAAGCTTTAAATGTTCATCCATTTTAAGATTAAAAATAGATATGCAGGCTTGGTACTTGAATTCTATCCCTAAAAACTATGGATGCCTAAGAGAAAGTTAATTGTTGCATAGGTTGGAGACTGTGAGAAATATGATTATGATGTATACCCCTGTTTTCTAATTGGCTCAAATGGCAAACTGTAGTTCTCCTGTAGTAGATATGTTTCTATGGGCACTTTCCTGAAGATGCCTTGCTACTATCATTGAAGTCAGAAATAATTCTGAATAATGTTCAAAACAAAGAAGGCTTTGTTTAATCTTACATTGTTGCATTAGAAATGAGCCAAGAGTCCAATAAGACTTATCACCCTTTCAAGTTTCGATATAGCTTATTGCCAAGTACATTTTTATTTTTAAAGCTAAGCATAAGGGGAAACAGATTAGCAATTGGGTTTAGTCTATACAAAAGAAGTCTGTAACTGTCGTGGGTTTTAATAGGTTTTGTCCAAGGACACAGATATCAAACACAGAAGGTTATGAACAGGCCATCTAAATGCAACAAATATGCACAGATTAAGCATAGGATTCATGAGTGGATGTGATCCCAGGTAAATTAACCTGAGCCTTAATTTCCATATCTGAAAAGTGGGAATAAAAACTACTTACCTTAAAGAAATACTATCATCATAACATGAATAGTAAATTAATGAGCTTAAAGGCTACCAAAGGGATTTGAATTATGGTGGAAGAAAGGTAGAAAAATGGTTCCTCTTGAAAGCCTAAGAAAAATAACTACTACTCTTAATTTAGCAGGCACACTGGTCTCATGACTGTTTCGCTTCTAAGTATATTTATAGATCAAAGATATCTGGGCATCTACATCAGTATTTTGTGTGTTAGGAACCAGTGACTTTTGTGCTCCTTACAGAATTATGACCTGGTAAAGGTATAGCAGTAATAATACAACAAACAAAAAGAACTCAGAGATATCAATGTTTAGGAAACACTGTGCAATGATGAAACTTTCCATCTCAGAACTGAGAGGTCAGTTGTATATGATTCCAATCTAGCCTTCCAAGGCCTCAGAGAGACACTGAGATGGCATGTTCGTATATCCTCAGTGTCTGCAGAACACGTATCCACTTATTTGGTCCAGCAGCTTCCACGTACAAATGAGCTGCTGGGTAGACACTTTATGGTGATTGCCCTTTGTTAAGTGACAATAACAAAATACTGATTCATCCAACAAATGAACGTTTTAACAACCCTAAGTGCCTCCAATTTCCACATGCCAAACAGAATAGACCCTATTGCCAGCCAATTTGAAAATTTACACTCCAGCTTTTAGTTTAAGATTCTCAACTTTGTTGCCATTCCATCATACAGAAGCAGTCTTGGTATCCTGAAGCTGGAGCAAAATGCGACAAAGTGAAGTTCCTACTGACTGGGCACACAGTCAAATGCATGTCACCAAGACTGGGGGTTCAGTCACATGCTGTTCTTCCTTGATTAAAAAACTCATTAATCTGACTATCATAAAGGCAGAGTCTTACTGTTTTTGTTTTTACCTTATGGGCTCACAGGTCCACATACTAACTTTTGTAGACTCAGCTAATTCTGAAACTTAAGTATCCAGAAGATCTAAGAAGAAACATTTAAGTTTGTTTTATTAACTTGCTCACCCTTCTGTATAGAGACTGAAATAGAGGAGGACTAAGGGAGGGGAAAGTAGTAGCAGCTTAGTCTTAAAGACCTTCAAACTGGAACAAGATAGCCTATCCCTGCAGGAGATCTGACTTACCTATGTAAGAGGAAAAGATACATTGTCAGTACTTTTGATACAAATTTTGGTGGTAGGACATACAGTACAATTATTAAAAGCACAGTCTCTGGCGACACATGACTCAGGTTGAAATCCTGGCTCCAGATACTTATGTGTGCTCTTGAGCAAGTTTGTTCCCTCAGTTTTCTTAGCTATTACGTGAGAAAATAATAGCACCTATGTCTTAAAATTGTTGAGGATTAAACAGGTTAATGCATGTAAACATAGTTACATACTCAGTACCTGTAAGCTACATTTATTACTTTTCAAAAGTGATATACAGCAGGTAAAATGTTGATTTAAAGTCATACTGTATATTAATGAGGTTACTAAAAGGACATTTTCAAATCCTTCTACCATACCGCCACAGACAGTACAATTGAAAGGTGATATGAATAGCATCAGAGAATCAAGTGATGGAACTGACAGGGACAGCATTGTGAGACTATGGAAGGAATCTCTATAGACATCAAGATGACAATTTTAAATTCCCTCCCTAGCATATATGGATACTATAGCTCTATGGCAAAGTATCAAAGTAATTTATGCTTGTAGCCTCATGGGCTCATTAATATATAGCAGATGTGCTTTACTTACCAAGCTCTGGTTGTCTGGCAGCATGACAATGATCTGTGCGTTATGATCCCAAATCATTCGCCAGAAATCTTTCGTAGTATGTGGCAGAGGATGCTGAGTTATAATAAATTCATTGCTCCTATAATAGCCCTTCAGTTGAGAAGACAAAAAAAGTCAGTGAATATGAGTGTTTTATCCTAACTTTGTGGCAGTAAAATATATTCATGAAATAAGATAGTGTTGTTTTGACTACACTAAAATAATTGAGAAAGGCATTCAGTACATTTGGCTAATTTTTAGATGTACTTCTGCTAGCATTGTGCAGACAATTTTCTCTCCATGTGCAGTTCACTTCTAGTTACCCCTGCTGTTTTCACTTAACAGAAATTTCAACATTTATTCAAAGACTAGATGTATGAAATTAACAGTAAAATTGATTCCTTAAGAAGCATTTTGCTTAATTTAAGCATTTTTGTACCCCCACTGATTCGGTTTCTTTTGCTGGAAGTTTCAAGATACAGAAATCGCTACACTTTCCATATTACACACTGAGAAATTATTTCAAAAATGAAATCAGTCACACAGGTGGTATCTGCTCTTTAGCACCTTTCAGTTTAATTGACTTTATTTATAATTAACTGTTGACTCACCATGATATAAGAAGCATTAATGTAATCTGTTCCTTTCATTCCAGGCAATGGTGCAAGACCCACTCGAGCACGCTCAGCTATCATATGGAAAAAACAAAAACACCACATTTGCCTTATTATACACACAGAACCAACAGCTCTTTCTGAGATTTGCTTGATGAATAACATATTCTCCTGGCTTTCCTTTCTAAGACTTATCTATATTTTTAAACAAGCTAAAGTGTTATCAGCTGAGGCAGAATGTAAGATGAAATTATGCTGCACGGAAGGACACAGGCATTGTAGGAATACAGTTTTACTGTGTGAGAGATTTTTTTACAGCAGATCAATAACAGAATATATGGACACAACAGAGTGTTTCAGATAACTTTTGACTCTAGTTTGTTATTCCTACAATTATACCAACATATACTTTGCCCCCCAACCCCTTCTCCGTCTTTCTGTTCATGATGGACTTAGAAAAGAGTGGTCTTTTTCATTAGAGATAAATCTCCCCACAACGATCCCCTATGTGTATGCCTACAGCACACAGACAGTATCCTCTGCTATGTCCTGAGTTATTTACACAAAGGTCACCACCAATCAACAGCACTTTGATCTCCACAGCCACAGTAACTGAATAGTATCGTTCCAGTTGTAAGATTAATCCAAGATTCTAAGTTTTAAAGGAATGTTAATCCCACAGCTGTAACAGCTTTATTATTGTTTTATGTTATAATATGTTAGAAGTAACCCTATTCTTGCATTCCAAGGTGAAATGAAGCTATATTCTACATCAGATAGATGGAGCAACCTGCTGACTCTGACAGCCACCTCTCCCAGTTTCATCAAACTTCCTTAGTTGAATGAGCATAACATTTTCCCTTTCGGTAGTACCAGGTAAGAGGCTGGTATAAAGTCATATATAAATGCGGTTACTAAAAGGACATTTTCAAAACCTTCTACCACACAGCCACGTACAGTACAATTGAAGGGTGCTATCAATACCATCAGAGTAGTAGTTGCCTCTGTACTTAATACATACAATCCAGTTTAAAAGATCACTAACTGATGTTAAGGTCTTACATGGCACAACTGAAGAGTTTCTGTTCTTTTCTTTGTTACACTCTTTCTGAGCACTAAAACATTCCACATATTTTGCATTACATTGTGTGACCAGCTGAAAAAGAAAACAACATTTTAGTCTTCATTCAGAGATAAAACTAATAGCATCTGCTTGACACTTTGACAAAAATCCCAATCATCAGATTACTGATAAACGTTTAAGACCATTTTTGTGCCACAAAGAACCTTTGAAGACACAGGGTCTTCCTTGCTTGCCCAGGCTGGAGTGCAGTGGCATGACTGTAGCTCACTCTAAGTGTGTTCCTTCCACCTCAGCCTCCTGAGTAGCTAGGACCACAGGTGTGCTGTCACCACAACCAGCTAATTTTTGAAATTGTTTACAGAACTGGGGTCTTCCTATGTTGCCCAGGCTGCTCTGGGATTACAAGAGCTAGGATTACAGGTGTAATCTACTACACCCAGCCCCAAAGAACACTCGGCCTTCCCTAGGGGTACTTCTCTCAGTAACTTTGATTGATTGTGTCTTTCTTATTTCTACTCTCAGGCCCTAAACAGGTACCATGTGCAATACATATTTATAGAACTATGTGCATTTTTCTGTGATTCCTCATTGCACAGAAAACCAAGTAAGTCTACATTTAAAAAGATGGTTTAATGTTATTTATTATGAGCTAATCATGTTTCTTGAAGATAATGGAATACTTAGTTCTCAGTACATTTCTGTTAAACTAACATTGTTCTGAGGCTGTTAAAAGTAACCGGCCTAGTAGTTTGGTTATTATTCCTGTTAATGTAGATTGGGCAAAGCATTTTGTCAGTCCTGTTTTGGGGGGGGTCTGGCGTCGGTATTAATGGAATATATGAGATCAGTGTTCTTCTCCAGATGCTTTAGTAAAACTCATGGTCCCTGGATATAATTTTCAAGTTTCTGATTCTTGTTTTTTTCTTCATCTTGAGCTCTAAAATGGTTAGTGCCAGTGTCACATTTCTTCCATTAATTTTTAAAGTATGTATAAACAAATATTACAGAAATGAAAAAGGCCAAATTTAAGTAATATTGGTACTTAATATTTTGTAAGAACTCATGTTAAACATTTAAAATGATACACTGTGTCCTCATTATTAATTACCTCATAGTTTTACAGTAGTTGTTAGAATTTTAAATGACCTAAAAATTTAAAATGACTTTTATGATTGAACTCAGTGAAACTAAACTATTTTTCATTTCGTATCACTTGGTATAATTTGCTTGGCAGTCTCACTTCTTCAGCTGAGATTCAAATCAAAGTTTCAGAGTCAATGGAAAGTTTTACCATGAAAACTAATACTGTAGAGTCATCTCATTCTTTGAATCTTGATACAAAGGGAGAAACTATTTACGTATAGAATAATGTGCAAAATAGAATTTAAAAGACAAAAGATAAATAGGGCGGCACTTGGTAACTGAAGAGACAGGCAGTATTTGCAAGTTAGAAGCAATTTTGATGTATTATCAGATGACAGTCTTACTTATTTTAATAGTACTTATAATCTCTCTTTTTCACCTTCACTTTAGTCAATTCCACATAAACCTTAACTGCCTTTTTTTTTTTGAGACGGAATCTCGGCCCTGTTGCCCAGTCTGGAGTACGGTGGCATGATCTCGGCTCACTGCAACCTTCATCTCCTGGGTTCAAGCAATTCTCCTGTGACTACAGTCCTACCACCACACCTGGCATTTTTTTAAATTTTTATTTTTAGTAGAGACGGGGTTTCACTGTGATAGCCAGGATGGTCTCCATCTCCTGACCTCATGATCCACCCGCCTTGGTCTCACAAAGTGCTGGGATTACAGGCGCAAGCCACCTCGCCCGGCCTTTTAACCCCTTTTAAGCTTCTTCATGTCCCTATCAAAGAAAAGAGGCACAATCAAAACTATTTAGGAAAAGTTACCTTTCTCTAATATTATTTAGTAATTCTTTTTTAATTTTTAAATTATCTTTTGGAATAGTTTTTGAAATAGGCGTATTTTTAGGACAATTTATCTACAGATAATCATTCTTTTTTTTTAGACAGAGTCTCACTCTGTCACCAGGCTGGAGTGCAGTGGTGCGATCTCGGCTCACTGCTGCCTCTGCCTCCTGGGTTCAAGTGATTCTCCTGCCTCAGCCTCCTGAGTAGCTGGGACTACAGGCAAGCGCCACCATGCCCAGCTAATTTTTGTTTTTTTAGCAGAGATGGGTTTCACCATGTTAGCCAGGATGGTCTCGATCTCTAGACCTCATGATCCACCCACCTCGGCCTCCCAAAGTGCTGGGATTATAGGTGTGAGCCACTGCGCCCAGCCAAGTAATCATTCTTAATAATTAAGGTAAGATAGATTAGTTCAGAAAAAATATAGGATATTTTTTGGACTGAACAAGTGACTTTAAAGTACTATGTCATTATGGTGAGGGGCTGTTTATATTCAGATAAAGTCATAAATTGCTCAGAAAAAAATACAACACTGTACTATCTACTTGAATACCAATGATTCATACATAGGTCAATACCGTATTTTCTTTTTCGTTACATTTCAGGCATATAAGGAGTACAAGCCTAATTCACTGCAGACATGTAGACATTACTGCAAAGAAGACATAACCTCCAAACTGAAGGCATTTAAACACTTTTTTGCTTTATGCCAAAAAAACTTATTCAAAGCACTACCTTGAATTGCTTTTCCAGTCGTGTCTTTCCTCCTACTCCCGGTATAAGGATGCTGTTAACATAGCTGTGCAGCTGATTTGAAGATACTTCAGTCTCCTTTCCAAGAATGGCTTCCAACAAGGCATCATGGATGAAAATGTACTGCTCCTAAGCGGTACAATATATGGTAGTCACTCAGGGAGTGTTAAGGGTTAGCCACTCATTCATGAAGTCTACCTTAGTTTAATTCTGCCCCTGACAGGGACCTCCCAGTGCATTCCTTCAGGCACTTACAGCTAGGTGATTTGTTCCAATACTCAACTTGCTTATCAATCCTAACTTATTTTAGGGTAGAGACTGTGTTAAGTTTAGCTCCATATTCTATACTGTGTGATAAGCAATCAAGAAATCGTTTTCAATGATGGGTTTTAGAACCATCCTCGCCTATGTGTTTCTCAGGCCAGACAACATGTTTAACTCCCCCTACCATCTAACACAGCTTTTCAACTGTATCTGCTTCATAAGTGCTGGTGTAGTTATTTAGGAATCCAAATGTTAAGATCCATACAGAAATGTAAAACTGTGATCCACAAAATAGTATATCTACTACTACAAACCTGTAAATTCCCGCAAGCCCTAAAAGAATGAATCTGTCTCTTCACTATCATTTACCTTTCAGTTAAAGCATGTGCCACAATCTCATGAGGACACTGGCAACTGTTCCTTACCTCAGTCTGGACGAGGTAGTTACGCTGTGTCCTGATATGCTTCAGGAATCCCAGGACATTAACTGTGCTTTTGTCTTTTATCTGTTGTAGCATGCTGTCTATTACAATATAGGTGCCTGTCCTGCCCACACCAGCACTGTAAGAAATGAAGACAGACACTCAACTGACACTTTTATCATACTGTTAACTTTGATTCAAAAAGTTGCAATCTAAACCCCATTTATTTTATTATTATTTTTTGAGACAGAGTCTCACTCTGTTGCCCAGGGCAGTGGCGCAGTCTTGTTTCACTGCAACCTCTGCCTTGCAGTTCAAGCAATTCTTGTGCCTCAGTCTCCCGAATAGCTGAAATTACAGGTGTGCAACTTTACATCCAGCTAATTTTTGTATTTTTAGTAAAGACAAGGTTTCACCATGTTGGCCAGGCTGGTTTCAAACTCCCGACCTCAGGTGATCTGCCCGCTTTGGCCTCCCAAAGTGCTGGGATTACAGGCATGAGCCACCGCGCCCAGCCTAAACCCTAGTTAGATAACCTAGTAAAGTTGACCTAGGTTATTCACTTAGCATTGCAACATAAATCACGGAACAGGCCACATTTATTTGAGTATCAAAGGGCGGGGGGGGGGGGGGGGAAGGGGGGGAAGAGGCAAGAATGCATTTGCAAATCAAACAGTAAAAGCATTTTTAAATAACCAAATTAAGTCATTTAGTGTAGTTGACAGAAAACAAGCTTTATACAAGCATTTCCCAGTGCTTTTGAAAAGGTATTATATGGAACTTATAAACTAAAAATTTAAAAATGAAATCTTTTCATATATATAATAAATATTATTTAGAAGAACCTTTCAGAAAAGCCATTTACAAAAACACAATCTCTAGTGTGGAAAGTTCTTGTGTTTAATACTAGATTCTTATTTATTAGGATAAGCCTACAATTTTCCTATAAACAATGGGGATTTTTTTTTTTTTTTGAGTCAGGGTCTTGCTCCATCCCCAGGCTAGAGTGCAGTGGTGCAAACACAGCTCACTGCAGCCTTGATCTACTGGGCTCAAGGGATTCTTCTGTTTCAACCTTCCATGTAGCTAGGACCACAGGCATGTGCCACCATGCCAGCTAACTTTTTTTTTTTTTTAATTTTTTTTTGTAGAAAAGAGGTCTCACTTTGTTGCCCAGGCTGGTCTCAAACTCCTGGGCTCAAGCAATCCTCCCACCTCAGCTTCCCAAAGTGCTGGGATTATAGCTGTTGGCCTCCATGCCTGGCTCATATTATTAATAAGATAATTTTATAAAAAACTAGAGATTCGGCAACCAACAGAATGGGAAAAAATTTTTGCAGTTTACCCATCTGACAAAGGGCTGATATCCAGAATTTACAAAGAACTAAAACAGATCTACAAGAAAAAACCTAACAAGCCCATTCAAAAGTAGGCAAAGGATATGAACAGACACTTTACAAAAGAAGACATACATGAGGCCAACAAACATATGAAAAAATGCTCATCATCACTGGTCATCAGAGAAATGCAAATCAAAACAACATTGAGATACCATCTCACGCCAGTTAGAATGGCGTTCATTAAAAAATCTAGAGACAACAGATGCTGGAGAGGATGTGGAGAAATAGGAACACTTTTACACTGTTGGTGGGAATGTAAATTAGTTCAACCACTGTGGAAGACAGTGTGGCGATTCCTCAAGGACCTAGAAATAGAAATTCCACTTGACCCAGCAGTCCCATTACTGGGTATATATCCAAAGGATTACAAATCGTTCTACTATAAGGACACGTGCACATGAATGTTCATTGCAGCACTGTTTACAATAGCAAAGACCTGCAACCAACCCAAATGCCCATCGACGATAGACTGGATAGGGAAAATGTGGCACATATACACCATGGAATATTATGCCGCCATCAAAAATGATGAGTTTGGGTCCTTTGTAGGGACGTGGATGAACCTGGAAACCATCATTCTCAGCAAACTGACAGAAGAGCAGAAGATCAAACACCGCATGTTCTCACTAATAGGTGGGTGTTGAACAATGAGAACACATGGACACAGGGAGGGGAGCACTACACACTGGGGTCAGTTGGGGGGAAATAGGGGAGGGACATTGGGGGGTGGGGAGCTGAGGAGAGATAGCAAGGGGAGAAATGCCAGATGTAGGTGATGGGGAGGAAAGCAGCAAATCACACTGCCACGTGTGTACTTATGCAACAATTTTGCATGTTCTTCACATGTACCCCAAAACCTAAAATGCAATAAAATAAATGGGGAAAAAAAATAAAAAACAAAACTAGATATTGATCTAATTTTTTAAAAACCACAGAAGCAGCAGGTGAGTTCTTAATGTTACAGGAATAGAGCCTCTTTAAAACTGTTGTAAGTCTTACCCATCCCAGTTTCTAGTGGAAGATTCAGCTTCCATGTTAAAGCAGTAGTAGTCACTGTGGTCCAAGATCACCGAGTCCTAAGTCCCCTGCCCCACCTACTTCACATATTGAACCCCAGGCCCTACCTGCAGTGCACCAACACAGGGCCCATTTCTGGCATCCGAGCTGCTGAGGATCTCCTCACGAAAGTCAGTACTGGAAGAGCATACTCGGGAACTCCCATGTCAGGCCACTGTGTATAGTGATACTGGATCACTACCCTTTCATTCTGACGACCCTTGGGATTTCCCTTCTGACCCTGTGAGAAAGGTGGAAAAAAGATGTCTTTAAGGTGAGGGGTGGACATTCTGGAAAAAAGTAATGTAAGGCTGTCAGGACACATGACCACTGATCTCATTCACCCTAATCACTTTTCCCAGGCTAGTTTATTTCCTCTTGTAGCCAACTTTCATGCCATTAAATGGAGACATTACCAAGCTCTATATGAAATATCACTATCACTTAGAAGAGAAGACTAAGACTGTACTAAGAACGAACATTTAGTATTTAGTATTAGTTTTTTTTGGAATTGGAACTATCCAAAGCACTTGCAATTTTCTTGCAAGTCCTCCATTTCCTGACTTTCTGTCCCAAATCCAGATCTTAGTACTTTGCTTTCATTTCTCTGTGGGCTATGATTCCCATTCCCTCTCCACTGCCCAGGCTGGACCTTCAGGAGCCAGAGTGCTGGTTGCTGCTGTAAACTATGCAGGAAGTGATGGGAAAATTCTAAGTGTCGAATACTTCTCTCTTTAGAGTCAGAGGCAATGTCTCATTTATCTGTCACTTTCATAAATGACTTTTTCAGAGTAGTTTTCCTTTGACTGAACTTTTTATATAAATTTTAAGTACTTTAGATGAAAAATTTCCCCCAAACAGATAACATGCTATATGTTTTCTTATTATCAATACCTCAATAATTTCTAAATTTTTGGGGATGACTCAGGGTCATTAATCAACATTGAAGCTTAAAGGCTGTCTGGTCCTGTGCTATTATACATAGGCCCATGATAGCTTTAATTCTTCTGTTAACTCATTTTTCTACTTTTTCCTGTATGTAAAACACCTAAAGTTCCTACTGGACTTCTTCCTCTGACTTAAGCTGTTTCTAAAACAAGAGTAGGTGGGCCCTGTTTAAATACTTGAAAGATTCCCATTAGTTGGAATTTTTAAGTTTTATGCTGGTTATGGATTATCTTGAGCCAGCCAGCAGGTCTATTTTATAACATAGAACACAGATGTTGCGCTACACTACTGATATTCATGTTATTTCATTTTGGGAAATAAACATACATAGAAGGGACTGTTAACCTAGGATCACAGATGCGCTTTGGAGCCCCTGAATTTTATATAAAAATGTGAGTAAATGTCAATGTAAATGGGGCAAGGAGGGTACAGTTTTATCACATTTTCCAAAATGTCCAAGACACCAAGAAAACAAAATTATCCCATTGCTGCAAACAACTGCCATACCTAAGTTCTGTGGAAGAACTACATTTTTTAATGAGCATCTATTTACAGTTCTTCATATAGTAGTTCCTCCTTATCTGCAGTTTCATATTCTCGAGGTCAACCACAGTCCAAAAATATTACAGTATTTTAAGAGAAAGAGTATACATTCATATAACTTATTACAGAATATTATTGTTCTATTTCAGTATTAATGTCTTCCTGTGCCTAATTTATGAATTTTATCATATGTATGGATGTAAAGGAAAAGACACTGTATGGAAAAGACATTGTATAAACAGACTTCAGTAGTATCTGAGGTTTCAGGCATCACTGGGCATCTTGAAACATGCCTTACACAATTAAGGGGGAATAGCTGTACTCCTGTGATGATTGATCTAGGATTCTTGTTGTGACAGTGGATTTTGAAAAAGAAACTGAGATAACCTGAAAACAGTATTTCCACAAGTGTGATGCTCAGGGTATTAGTAGTTCTGTAGAAAAGGGTTTTATTTTTAACACCAGTGCTTTGGTCACTCTAAGTTCACTGTAAATTTCTAAAA